GTCAGCCACAAAAGGATAAATATTAAATAGCCTCATTTAGATAAAATACTTTGAATAAGCAATTGTCTAGAGACCCAGGTTACCAGGGGTTACTGGGTCAAGAGGAAAAAGAGGGAGTCGTTTTGTAAGCAATAAGTATCTGTTAAGGGGGATGGAAGGAGCCCTGTTGCATAGTGGTTATGTGTTGAGATGCTAACCGCAAGGTCAGCAGTTCAAAACCACCAGCTGCTCCTCAGTAGAAAGATAAGATTAGTCTCAGAAACTCACCAGGGCAGTTCAACCCTGTCCTACAGGTTCCGCCGTGAGTCAAACTTCATTCCAGTGAGTTTGGTTTTGAGTTTTGAAGGGTGATGGGAAATTTTCAAATGGATGCTAGTGACCACTGTACAACATGATTAATGTAGTGGGTATACAAATCAGTACACTAAATTGTACACATTAAAAATGTTGACTTGGAAAATGTTATGTTAACTATATTTTAAGCACACACATTATTTTTTTTAAATACAAAAAACATAATACTATGGATTGAATTGTGTACCCAGAAATACATGTTCTCAATCCTAACCCTCTACCGGTAGATGTGGTCCAGGTGGGATTTGGGTTCTCCTTGTTACATAATTGAGGTCGTGTCAATGAAGGGTGGGTCTTAGGCTAATTACCTTCAAGATATAAAAAAAGTGGATTAGGCAAGGAAGCCCAGCTAGGGGAAGATAAAGTGCCAAACCACAGGAAGAGCACCAAGGAGCAAGGAACAGAAGCTGAAAAGAGACCAGGATCTCCCCGTCATACCAACAGAGAGAATGCCTTCTCCTCAGAGGCAGGACCCTGAATTCACTCAGATGCCTAGCCTCCAAAACTGTGGCTAAAATGCATTTCTGTGCATTAAAGCATTTCGCTGGCAGTATTTATGTTATAGCAGTACTAAGATACTAACTAACTGCACGATTGTAAAACAAAAATAAAGGAACGAAAGTCGGGCTCATTACCATCACCTATGAAGCTCTCTAGGGTCTGGCTGCCCCAAGAGCTCTCTGGCTTCATTCTGCCCTTGCTTGCTGCAGTCCACCCACCCCCCCCTCCCTGTCTCCTTGGGACTCCTAGAACATGCCACGCCCACCGCTTCTCATCCTCAGAACCTTTGCACATCGGAATCGTCCCTGTGTCTGGAACGCTGCTTCACAGCAACAGAAGAGCCTGCTGTCTGCTTTTCTTAGGTGTTTGCCCAAACACGGTCTCAGTGAAAGGGTGTATGTATCACACCGCCACCCAGCAGGCCACAGCTCCCTCTCTGGCTTTATTTTCCCTCCACAGCGGCAAGCACCATCTGATACCCAAGCTAGGGGGCCTGGGTGGCACCGTGTCGGGCTGCTAGCCACATGGTTGGTGTTCAAACCCACCAGCCACTCCTTGGGGGAAAGAGGAGGCTGTGCGCCCCACACGGTCTGACCGTCTCAGTAGCCTGTGGAGCCTTTCCACTCTGTCTTAAAGGGCCAGGATGAATCAGAACAGATTCTACAGCAGGGAATAACATTTGTCTGTGTGTTGTATTTTTTAAGTTGAGTTCGTGCTTGCACTCCAGTTTCAGGGCCAGTGACATTCCCTCTGTATCTTGAAGAATCTAAGAGAGTGTTCTAGGCAGAGAATGTACAGTCTTTGAAGGCAGGAATTTTACCAGGTGCTCAATCCATAAATGCTGACTTAATTCTCTTAAGAAATGTGGATGATATTCCTACGGGCATTATCTCACTTTTGTGCTATTGACATATTCAAACTTCAAACCTTGCCTTCATTTTACCTTTTACTTGCATGCACACACGAGAAAAAGGAACGCTGATGGCGCAGCGGTTAAGCACCCAGCTGCCAACCAAAAGGCAGGTTGGTTGAACCCGCAGGTCTCCTGCAGGAGAAAGATGTGCAGTTGGCTTTGAGACCCTCTGGGGCGGTTCTGTTCTAACAGGGCTGCTGTGGGTCAGAACCAACTCGAAGGCAGCAGGTTTGGCAGAAGAGGAGACAACGCGTCATCAGGCTATGGCCGCCGGGCCAAGAGTGAGCTTGGCAGTAAGCACTAAGAGGGCTCGAGTTTAAACCCTGCAAGGACAGTTACGACTCCTCTAGACCACGCTGCGGACTCCTTTCCGTCACCATCCCCACATCCCGGCTCTGTCCTGCTCCTGGGAGCCTGGGCCAGCGGCCACACAAGCCTGCCAGTCACTGCAAGTACTCCAAACTCGAAAGGGCTGCCTTCTGGGTGGGCGTTTCTTATGGATAAAAGATGTCAAGTCGTTTAAAAGGGTCTATCATTCCAACCACTAGAAAATATCGGGGTTCAAAAGAAAAGTGAAAGCCAGGGTTCTAGCCTAGCCAGTTGTAGTCCCTTAGTATAAACTCAGTAGCAGAGGGCACGCCCCTTGCAGAATTTCCTCTTAGTCA